ACGGCAGAGGAAAAAAACAGAGGCACTTGTTGCCGACAGTCTGAACACGTCTGACCTGAAGGAGCACAAGCAGCCAGCTTGAAGCGTTGGGCATGTTTTGGATGCTCAAAACGTAGCTTGAATACCTTTTATTTATTTTAACTCCATCCTCTTTTGCTTATTTGATTTAAACTTATTTGCCTTCCATGGACCTCCATCACACAATTTTTCTAGCAGGGAAATGACATCAATAGAAACACATGGAGCTGGATTTTAATTTGTGCAATAAGACAAAACAGTCTTGTTTTCAAGAGTTTGCACTTTAAAGAATTAAGTTACACAACTGATGTTACAATACAAAGAATTGGATGTTGTCTTGATATTTGTTAATTTTATATATTGAGAAATATGTTAAATAAAAAAAAAGTTTATTATTGAAAAAACAACACACACAAAGTACCAAAAATTGGTACTGTTAAATACCGGTACCGATTCCCAGGTACCAGATATTGGTACCGAATCGATTCAAACGTCAAAGGTACTCATCCCTACCGCTCTCCCCGTGTCCTCCCCCTCCTGCCTGCTCTGTTATCTGTGGCAGACTGTCTCCTCATCCCCTCATACACCCTCACAGCCCCACGCACGGGTGAGAAATACAGACTTTAAAAAGTGAACTTTTTATAACATCCACACTGACAAGGGGCACGCCCTGCGAGTACCCAAGCGTGACTGTGGTGCTGTTGAAATGTCTCTTGTCGGGGAGTGGTCTGTGGGTCAGGGTCATGAGGAGGAGGGACATGGATGGAGTTGTGTTAACTTTTATATACGATTTAAGTATTTTATTTCAAAGTCCCTTATTACGGAAGAGCATTGCATTCACCTAATGAAAAAATATTTGACTCCTGATCTCATAATTTCGAAATCAGGATCTCATAATTACGAGTTCAGGATCTCATAATTATGATATAAGATCTCATAATTACGAGATAAGTTAAAGAGGGTCAGCTGATTTACATCACATGAAAAGTAAACAATGACAGCACTATCACATTTTATATGCTTTTATTCCCTCTTAGGTATGAAATATTGGGAAATACTGAGTTTACTTAATATGGATGGTGTTGTATCTATTAATGTGGGTTTATTAATCAATCCACCTGCACATCGGTTAGAGTGTTCTGTTCAATTCATCTTCGAGGTGTACTTGGCAGCTTCTGCACAAACATAACACCGTCATTTAGCTTGTAGTGGTGCTTCTGGTGTCAGCAAATGGATATTTCAAAATAAGACTCTGATTCAACACAGTCCGAACACAACATTACAGAGATGGTATGATGCTGTATGGATGATAGTATGTCGACATTACGCAGCTATCTTCCTTGCGGTTGTTCAAGCGAAAAGCCCACACTGACATACTGGAAGTCGCTCTCTTCCTGCATTATGGGATGCTACGGCTATAGATAATGCCTCTGAAATGCTTAAATTACGCCCTGTATGTAGCTACACAAAAAGCAGAGCACACACTTCCTCCTGTTTCAACCCTGGGCCACAACTTTATTTAACTCTGGTGAATTAACATAATACAGCTTGTTCTGGGCACTCCTGCGTTCGGCATTACACACATACACGTCCAGGACCATTACCTGCACAAAATCCACATGAAATAAGTAGGCCTGTCGCGATAGTCAATAAATCAATTAATTGCAAGATTAATTTTTTTGAGGTCGGTAAAAAAATGAGGACGATAAGTTTCATTTTCCTGCTTGTTTGTTTACTTCGTCTCTCTCCCTCTCTGTGCTCCGCTACACAGGAGCTCAGCTGACTCCTCCCCTCCTGTTTTGAGAGAGAGAGAGAGAGAGAGAGA